ATATATATATATATATATATGGTGGACTCTCCTCTCGTGAACGATAAATGAGGGTCAGAATTGGATGTTGCCTTTCGTTTTACACTTATGTATGCTAGCAGGAGCTATTGTGGAGATAATCAGGTAAAAGAAAAACATATTTCATTTGTTTCATTTGTGTTTTTATATATATATATATATATATATATATATATATATATATATATATATATATATATAAAACATATTTGATTAAAAAAGAACAGACAAGTTCTGCCTGCGTAATTTTATTGTTGAATAATGTATTGATAATTGACATCAAAATTGTGGATAAACTGTCCGAAGTCCATGTTTGTGTTGTATTATTCAGGTACTTTCGACTGTCTCAGTCACATTCAAAAATGGTTTCGCTCCAAATAATAGTTCCACATGATATCATCGTGGATTATTTCAAACTTTCAACTTTCCAAAGAATATCAGGCTGTTGAAAAAAAAATCATGCCTACCACATTTTATTTATTTATTTTATTTAGTTTATTTTTTCTTTTATTTCTGTTTACTTATTTTGTTTAATTATTTATTTTATTTTGTTGCATTCTCTGTTGCGTTCTGTGTTAATCTTTGTTTTTATGCAAAGTATTAGTTTTATATTTCTTTGCTCCGAAGGTTTGTGAACGATGACAAAAATGTAACCGTGTATGTGAAATCCAGCATAAATCCGACATGAAAAAAAAAAAAAAAAAAAGAACCTCAAGACACTGAGCTGATAGTCCTGTTGTTAAGCCGATTAATCTGATCAACAAAATCATGCTGGTTGGGTTGGTCGCATAAAGAATTCAGGAAACTCTTATTAATATGAGCAAATTTGACAAATACACTAAACTTTAAAAAGAATCTCATGAACAGTTACATTATTCTCAATAAGTCACGTTGCCTTGAACGTTTATTGAGACTCAAGTGTCTGGAACCCCAAGTGGAATTCGTCAATACGATCCATCACTAAAGATGTTGGCAAAATGGTGCATTTCTTGTGCCGTTTCAGAAAGTACCTGATTTCATCCGCCATACCTAGTGTATTTTCAAACAGGTTTGCCTATTAAACTTCTGTTTAAAAGACCGGGGAGAAGTGTGAACCAGACGATAGGCGAACCTATAATGAAAGAAACCTTCTTACCGGTACTTATATTAAACAGAAAAAATATTTCTTATATTTTAGATATCAATAATGATATCTATATTCTACTACTAAAAACGTCATTTTGTATATACTCATATTTGAATAGGCGTCATGCTTCTTTTTTTTTTAAAAGAAAAAAACAATGTGAATTACGTTTACTGGCCTTCACATTCGAGAGACTTAATAAAGAGACTGTACTCTCCAGTTCGAACCCACCCGGAGAGACATATAATATTTATTAAATCTCTTGAATACGCAGACCGGTAGACATAATTTACACTGTTAAAAAAAAAAGCAAGGCGTTTACTCAAAAATAACGGTTGAAGTAGAAGGAACTAAAGTCTAATAAAAAAATTAAATTCATTGAGTCTTTAAAAATTACGGCAAACATAAATAAACGCGCCTGCAATAAGGAACAGTCTTTCCACTGACACCGTTTTTTTTAACTACCTTAAAAAACGATGTTATTTAAATAAACTCTAATATATGAAAGTGAATTTATATATTTTCTTTGTTCTTGAGAATTGAAAACAAACTTAATAAATAGTATTTATTTATTAGATTGTTTATTTACACCATTTATTTATTATTTATCGTAATAGTTGGTTAATTGCTAATTGATTCAAACTTTATAAAATGGGAAATAATAAGGATTCAAATATTTTAATAGTTCTGTAAATATTTATAAATTTATGAATAAAAAAATCGTTATATTTATTTCTTTATAAATTGGTAAATGATAAATATTGCATTACATTTATTAGTTTTAATTGTATTAATTTTTAGAATATTGTAAATAGAAGGCACGTTGGAGTAATAGATAGCGGCTCGGATTGAGGAATCGGTAGAGCCGAGTTCGAATTCCAGTCGAATCCATTACATTCACTTACTTACTTACTTGGGAAAGGTATGAATCTTCTTTTTCTCCCCCTAGTTATGGGTAAATATCAGAACAGACCGGGTTCTATAGACTTGGATGGCAACTGGTCCACTGCAGAAAGAAATGGCAACCTACTGCGGGAAAAAATCTGCCTGTCAGTCATGTATCGAAAGATGGTACATAACTGACTGAAATATAAATATTCTTGTAAATAAACAATCTAATAAATAAATAGTGTTTTTATAGTAAATTCTCAAGAACAAAAAATGTATGAATTAACTTTTATCATATATTTAGATTTTATTCCAATTCTAATCATCGATTTTCAAAACAATTAACATTGCCGAAGAGTGAAGGTATTTAAAAAGGCGGTGTCATGGGAAAAAAACCGTTCTTTTGAATACTACGTCGTGTTGCGGGCACGTTTCTCTATGTTTGCCGAAATTACAATGTTATCTATTTATAACGTTATTTCTATAATGGTATAATGCTTTTAAGAGAATATAGCTATATTTTCCTTCATGGAATAGAATATTCCCAGACGTACAGGAAAAAGATATCAAGTAAAGCGGATGCACCGTTATGTTGTCCGCCATTTCTAAATGAAATGAGATGATGAACATTTCAAAATCTGATATAGAAAACGTCATGGCTTTTAATGCATTGGCTGGTCCGTTCCGTTTACAAGCAAGCTCACCTTTGCCGAATATATATTTACTGACTAGCAGTAGACCCCCGGCGTTGCCCGGGAATGTAACAGTAAGAGATAGATCAAGTATCGACCATCATAAAGACTGAAAAATAAAATTGAGAAAGATTATTGTTTAAGGTGGACAGACACGCATGTCTTAATTAGTTTTTTTTGTTTTGTTTTGTTTTGTTTTTTACGAATTGGTCAAACACAAACTCAAACAAAAACATTGTTTTCGATCGTTATGAATCTACCGATTGAATAAAATTTTATTATAAACAATTGTCTTGTAAATGGAATTTTTAAAGCATTCTGAATGTAAAAATAAAGAAAAAAGTGTGCAAAACAATAAGAAACACTACCTGCCAAAAAAAAAAAGTGAAGTTTTGTTGAAATCGGTTAAAAAATGTAGGAAATCCGATCCCATATATAAACGAACACACACACACACACAAACAAACAACCTGGGTTTTATAATAAGTATAACTCGATATGAGTTGTCCCCTTTCATTCTCGCGACAGCGATGCCTCTTAATCGTGTTTTCAAATTGATTTCGTGCGAAAACAATTGTGTTTTCCAATTTTTGGCGCTGTCAGAACCACCGCAAGGTAATTTTACGTAGTCCTGTGAAGTTTTGTTGAAATCGGTTGAAAAATGTAGGAAATCCGATCCAATATATAGACGAACAGACACACACACACAACCTGGGTTTTATAATAAGTATGATACTGTTTGCAACTGTCTGTATGTAATTTATTTATTTATTTTTTTTTGCTAATATTATTGCCAACTCTTCTATTAACTTTTATAATATTTGAGCAGTTTTTTTATAATACGTTCAATTGTGTAGAAATTATAATTTCTTGAAATTACTTGGGCAGTAACTCCGTAACATATACAGAATTTTATTTTGGAAAAATGTCAGAGGTTTTGAGCATCCGAGATCAAATGTTTTGATTCGTTGGCCTTAAATGAATGAAGTGTCGAGACATGAAAAATGGCCAGATAATGGATTTTTTTTAAAACTCATATCACTCAGCAGTAAACCCAATAAGACACAAGGGGTTATTGAGTGTGAACGAATAAGAAAAAAAATTAAGGAGCGAGAACAGTAGAAGACTAATCAGGAAAACAGTCGATAACGATTGACATTGCATTTAAATTTTTGAAGATCAAAGTTGGCTGGAAAGCATGGAGCCAGAAGGGAGTCCCACAAGCGAGAAGTGCGAGGGAAGAAACTGTTAGCATAAAACTCACGGTTACGTCTAACCAATTCAACTGTGAATTGATGAGATCTTGCCGCCAGTCTAGTACTGTGCTTAAATTCATAAAGTTCATAGGTACCATAGCGAAGAATTCACCAGAACAATTACCACGACAGTATTTATAGTAAAGGCACAGGGAGGCCATATTACGGCGGTGGGAAAGTGACTGAAACCGAGATGCTAAGTATATAATAATATTGCTGATTCTTTTTTGTATTGTATTAAGAATTTCTAATTATATAACATGAGCACCAGACCAGATGTGGCAGCTATATTCAAAGCAAGGACGAATGAGAAACTTATAGATATGCAAGATAGATTCAGGAGAGAAAATTTGTCTAGCATGACACAGTAAGCCAACTTTCTTAGCAGCAGACCTAACAATGGAGTCAATATAATCATGTCAGCCAAGAATGTTAACCCGTGAAGGCCAAACTTCACTCCCATGGAGGTTAGTATCAGTATATGCTGATGGGAGGCAAGAAATGATCTTTCAGGTGATTGATAAAAAGAAGTTTCATTTTGGGAGGGTGAAAATTAACAAGCCGTGACTGTATGAAATGCGTTCGCTTCTCAGCACTTCTCAAATAATTGTAAATATGAGACTCGCAAACAGACGCGAGCATGCGCACGCGTACACCATACGACAATAATATGGTTACAGGCTACGAAAGTTTCTACTTTTTTCTTTTGCTTTATTTATTTATTATTTTCGCGCGTGGACGTCCGTAAATACCACGTGTGTACGTATGTGTATGTGCGTGTGTTGCACACGATTGATTAGGTAACAATGTCAAGATCTCTCGTGGAAGAGTTGAGGTCAGACAAGGATTGGCAATGTAGCTGATATTTCTGTACCAGCCACAATCGCGTTCTGTATAGCAAGAAAATTAAAACATGGAAAACGGGACAGGCTATGGCCAGACAAAAAGTGTAAATCACTATTTGTTTCGGTTTGCTGAAGTCCATGAAGGGATAAATATAGCGGTGACCGGTCACACTAGTACCTCCGCTGACATAATAAATTCCCAAAAAGATGAGATAGGTGATCATCCAAATCAGTGTGTGCCAAAAATGAAGGAGACGAGTAGGCTTGTTTGTGACGAAGATATTTAAAAAGGTATAGACCGACGTCATAGCATGTTCCACAATGTTGATACCGAGGTTCCTTCCAGCTGAAGAAAGAAAAAATGAAAATCAAACATTATATAACATTAAATAGTAATATAAACTTAAATTAGTACTATGGACCACAGAAAGGTTATATTAAGACCCAACAACCATTCCTTCTGCTTACAAAGGGAAGGTTGCTTAGACTTAATATACAGAGTCTCAAACACCCTCGAATGGTAGGCTGAATGTGTCCTGCTGACGAACGAGAAGAAAATAAAAGACGATGCATAAATAGGATTACTTATTAGATGTTCCGCAATCGCAGAGCCAGAGGTATTGGCAAGCGTATGCAAATATTTATACTGCCATCATATTAGTTCGGTGATATATAATTTCAAATTTTAGTGCGATTCAATCAGAGATTGAAGTTGATAACTGACCAGCACGTTCCAGCTAAGATCCATAGGGGGTAGTACGAATATTTACATACGCCTGTCAATAATTCTGGATATGTGATTGCGGAACACCTATTAAGTAATCCGCTTTGTGTCTCGTCTTTTTCCAAAAATTTTTCTCCTGCATTTGCAGGACATCTTCAGACTACTATTGCTTGAGACACGCAACATTACTATTGTAAGCCTAATGAATTGTTGCTGGGTTTTAATGTAATCTGCTTGTGATCCATTATAGTAATTTAGGTTTATTTTACTTAAAAAAATCAAATTTAATCAAAGTAAAATTTAAATAGTAATAGTAATATTGGAAGGAGTAGCGGAGATACATTTATCTAACCATCCAAATATAAGTATTACCACACTTTGTTTATGGGTAATGACTAATTTCAGGCAGTACGCAGAGGAAGGGAAAAAAAAGCAAAAAGAAAAAAGAAAAAGAAAAAAGCAAAACATCATCCTAGTTAGGCATAGAATTAACGACTTGATTATCCGAATAAGGCCAAGTTATGATTTTTTGTCTGCAAAGGGCAGGGCGTTTTATATTAATAACAACAGACTTCAAGATGTCCAAATGGAATCTGGTCCGTGCCTTGTGCAAGATAGAGAAGAACTCAGGAGAATAGTCCGTCCTGCAAGCAAAAGAATTCATTAAATGCTCGCCGATAGTGAAGTCATGAACCTGTGAAAACCCGGCGTTTAAAGGCATATGGAATTAAATAAAAGTTAAAAAAAAACTATCTTCTGACTTCAAATTTCGCAGATACATCGCTCGATAGTATAAGATAAATGTATTGACTTATTGATATATATATATATATATATGAAGGGAGAAAAGGTGGATCCTTTTCAGTGGAAATAAATTTAGTTTGTTATATGCACTTTTTCGATAGATTTTTTCTTTCTTTCAAAATGTGTCAAGTTTTTTTCAGTTTTGAAATTCCATCAATAAATATAAAAAAATAAAATAAAAAATAGTTTCATAAATTGCAGAGCATAAGTTGGCCTGAGGATTTTTAGATCAAATTTCAGGTTTAAACCAGCATTTGCCATCTAATCCGACCATCTAGACAATTATCATGAAAAACTTGGAACAAGGCCACAATAATGAAATACTCAGTTTAAAGTACAGTCTGTAAGACTAATTTGCTAGCCAACACTCTAAGAAAGATACCCAAATATCTCCCAATCTTAGCTTAAAAACATTAATGGGGCATTCACTGAGGATCGAACTCAATACGTTGATATTGGTTTATGAGACTAGCTTATTAATTATCCTTATAGGCCAGTGGCTCTGACACAACGGACATTTATTGAGAAGTTGTTTTTTCTTCAATTATCTTCATAGCTTTTTTCTTCTTTAAATAACTTTACAGTCTAAAAAAGATAAACAAGTTTTATGCCTTGTCCAATGGCGACCAGCAATTTTTACAACAAAATGTTTCAAGTCCAAGTCGTTTTCCGAGAAGCAAATCCTTATCTATTTATCTATTAACTGCCTTTGTTATGCGATTATGTGATTTCTGGGATGAGGAATTATCATTATTTACATTCGGATTAATATCCTTATCTATCTATCTATCTATCTATCTATCTATCTATCTATCTATCTATCTATCTATTAACTGACTTTGTTAATGCCATGATTTTTGTCTGAATTTGTAGCATGAAGAGTCACCATTATTTACATTGTTTATATTTGGACTAATGCCCTCATGTTCGCTGTTATTATCGCAACGTTTCAACCGTTGTGCCCTGCGACCTACTTCAGGTGTTTGTCGATCTGAGTAACGCTTTAGGAAATTCCTACTGCCAATAGTCTAGTTAATTGTGTGTTCAATCCCCGGGCCGAGTAGTATAGACTCAGTGGGACTAGGACTAGCAACAACTGAGCAGTACTCAAATAGATACATACATAGATGTGTGATCAGGTGCTGTAAGTTTGGATGTGTGGGTAGCGTAATGGATAACGGCTCGGAATTGAAAAACTGAGAGCCGAGTTCTGATATCAGGTTCGTTATATTCACTATGAATACAATTCAGAAAGATAGAAATCCATCTCTTCTCCCCCAGCTATGGGTTAATTAGTGGAAATTTTACCAGTAAATATCATTATTATCTACAGAAATAATTATCTAAAAATATTTCAGGGTTTAAATAACGCACAAAAAGTTGGTGTTTCAAAGATCAAAAAAGAAAAAAACAAAAACAAATCGGTCAATCATTCATTCATATGGAGAATTAATGCAGTGTTCGGACAACGAAGTTACTCCACCTGAACCAGGTGTTAGTGAAAGAAAAGAAGGAAATCACCTTAAACGTTTTATAAGCATTTAAAAAAAAAACAAGGGAATAAAAGGAAATAAAAAAAAGATATTCAGACTTTAGAGCTGTGCGGACTTATAAGAGCTCTTTTAATAGTCAATGGATGTAACCTCGAGTTTGGTAATGTCCTGTACTAGCAGTTTTCCTAAAATTGTGCGTACCGTTCTGCCCATACCGCGGTGGGTGCAAAACAGAAACGATCGTCCATTCGTGGTTCACATCTTATACAGACCAGCATAGCAAGTATCAGAGGCTTAATTTTAGCCAATGAGCAAGTTTATTCTATTCACTGCGTACTACATCCTCAAAATAAGGGGTATAATTCATGTTCTTTCCAGGATTGCTTTTTTTTTTATTTGTAATTCATTTTAATTCCAATACCCCAGGTCGTAGGTTGTTTCTTACATTTGTGACAGTATCCTATTATAATTTTGCTTTTCCCTCCTTTCGTTAGTTCGCACGACCGTTATGTCCTGCCATTGCTTAATAAATAATGGACTATTCCGTTTTGCTCGCGTGGAAAGAGGGGAAAGACACTAATTGGTTTCAGTGAGAAAAAGAAAGAAAGAAAGGAAGAAAGAAAGAGAAAGGGGAAAATAGAAGTGTTTAACACTCAATTCAATGAAATGAAAAAAGTTGTCAATTTCAAATCTTTTCATTTGTATCCCCTTACTTCTTAAAATATCGACCAGCATTCATATTTATGATTGTTATTGCAATATTTTGTTAAAGGTGTTAAGTTCAAATATTTAACGATAGGGAAGTTTCTACGGATATTTTAATTGTCGTAGAAATCGCCATGAGCTTACTCAATCATTAATTTAATAGAATTAAGATTTAGCAGAATATTAAAATCGGTAAACCGTGAAAATTTCCCGGGTTAAAACTAAAAGGATAATTTCAGCAGTTAACAAAAATTTGGATCTTTACTTTTACATTTTCTAATCAATGGAACACTTGTATCGAATTGCTAAACTTTACATCCGAATACTGAGTAAAAAATACTTTATGAGAAGCTTCTTGTGATAGCTCACAGAAAGCTTTCTAAATTCTGGCCATAAAGTGTTGGGTAAAATTTAAGACGCTGGTCTAATATTGTCAGAAGCGGGATGAAATCCAGGCCTGCGTAGGTTCATGCAGCAGCAGGAAATTTAAATGATGACTGGAAAAATCAATCGAGTAAATGTGTTCAAACTCGATCACACAGGCTGATTTTCTAGGTTACCACTCCCCCGCCTCCAAAAAATCGGTGAAAGCCTATAATTAATTAGAAATTTGAAACTATATTATATTTGAATCCCTAAGCTCAGAAACCAGTTTTTACCAGTTTAACTTCTGCGTTTGGGGTTTTCACGTCCAGCTGCTGCTTCAGCCACACCGCCCTACTGTGCTATGCATGTATGTATGTAGTGATCATTTACTAAACTGAAAACGATAGCAAACTATATCAAATATGAATGGACGTTGTTGCTCTTACCTTTGTAGAGTAAAATCCAGTAGATTAGAGTTATAAAAAATGCGCCGTTATAGGCAATATTCGATAGGAACCAATTGATCTTGAAATACCACGGCATTGCATCCTGATGTTTGTCTGTTAACAAAAAAGAAAGAAAAAGATATCAAGTAAATCAGCAAGTAAGAAAAATTATTGTATCTATGCTGTTTGTATCACTGTTTTTTTTTCTTGAAGAATACTGCTCAGTAATTACTAGTCCTGTTTCCACAGATTTTATGTCCGTACTACCCGACCTAGAGATTGAACTCTCAATATTCTGCCAAATATGTTATGTAATCCATGACTTCCTTGAATTACTTTATTTACTTTTCGACAACGAGTTAGCAGATATAGACTTCGAAATGTCCTAACGAGAGAGATGTTCATTTCATAAAAAGAGAAATTGTAAGAACTTTCGTAACCGAAATGGTAAAGTTTTACCAGAAAACGGTAATACATATTCGATCCCTACTGGGACGGACATTTTCTTTAATTACACTTTCGATATCCTAGGCCGGTAGACATTAATTAATTTGTTTTAAATAAACATGGATGTCTACTCAAATTCGTATATCCACTAAAATAAATTTTATAAGAAATAATGTTAGATTTAAAAGAAATCCACTAGATGCTTATATATATATATATATATATATATATATATAATGAGATGGACTAACTCCGACAATTATTTAATATATTTATTGTTTATACGTTATTTTTATAGATACAAATATTTAAGTAAACGCTGTGTTTATAATAAACAGTATTAACAACATTCACTGGTATGAACGTCCGAGAAATTTCATAAAAAAATATGTATCTCCCGACAGGAATCGAACCTGTATCCTTCACAGAACTGCCATGTAACATGACTTGCTATACCATTTAGCTACAGAGGAAGCATCTGGCTAGCAAGGTCGAATTACTGCTTTTAAACTGCAAATTTCCCATGATGGCTCTCGAACGCTCATATCTGTGTTTATAATAAACAGTATTAACAACATTTACCGGCCTGAATGTCCGAGAAATTTCATAGAAAATATGTACCCTCCGACAGGAATCGAACCTGTATCCCACACGGGACCGTTATATAACCTAACGTGCTATACTATTTAGCTACAGAGGAAGCGTCTGGTTACAAGAGCCAGATCAGGCCGAGAATGGAGTACTGCTGCCATATTTGGACAGGAACTGCCCAGTCCCTACTTTACAGTTGCAGTAGAGTCCAAAAACGTCTCCGCGTCCTTGTGGGTGACAAATTATTTTCCATTCTACAACCATTTCTCAAAGGCGAAACGCCACAAGCCTCTCACTTATCCATCGCTATTTCCATGGAAAGAGATCAGATGAACTACATTCTTTAGTTCCACCAATTCTAACCTTCACGGCTAAAACCCACCAGTCTACGCACATTATAACGAACCACCTTCGTTCTCTTTAGATTCCATCTACTCGAACAGCTTCTTCCCGCCAACCGCTGTTCTATGGAACCGACTCTTGAAGTTTTCCCAATCACTACAATCTTAACGCGTTCAGGTCTAGTGCTAACCGTCATCTTCCCCACATATCCACAGAAACTCTTACTCTGTAACTCTATATCTCACGGTTCATGGGCCTCATACAGGGTGAACATCACTGTAAATATATATAAAGAGATATATACAGACAAACCTCTCATCAATGGACTAATAGGGAGATGGGGGTGGTCCTTTAAATCCGACTGTCTGCAGATGGGAAGGGATTATTTTTTAGTTATAAAACCGCTATAGTAACTACCACTAGTTATGATCATAATGTAAATACTATAAACATGTATATATGGCAAAAATAAATACATACTTAATATGGATATATTAATCAAAACTACAAAAATAATAGATTTCTCACAGCTACTTTCTCATGCACGCGCTAATGTATCGTACTTTATATACTGTACACCCATCTTTGTTTACAATAGAAAAACTCGCCACCGCCGCCAAGCGGTCACTCTGAGAACTAATATGATTCGTTCCGTTAAATTTTGAAATACATCGCTGATGATTTGGAAGTCTTTTTCTGCAGAGTTTTTTTTTATATTGCCTACAGATTTTGTTGCATCCGAAGTCCGTTTATGGGGGGGTCCGGAAATGAGAGGTTTGTCTATATTTATAAGATTATAAAAATATGTGAACCAGCTATAATGAAATATTTATAATTTACTGTTTTATAAAAGATTAAATATGAAAAGAAATTGTTTTATACATAAATTTATAAAATGTGTGTGAACGAGAAAATTTACATAAACACATAACAACGAGTATCTGTAAGTATAAATTTTGAAAAAAATGGATTTTCCGTGCATTTTTTTCCATTTGTTCTTGTCACATAAATTCACTAAAATAGATTAAGGGCGTCTCTTCCTCTGAACAAAGCATTCTTTTAATTTATGCATGTCATATGTTTATACAAATGTTCTTGTTCTGTAATTATTTATAAAATAGTAAATGATAAATAAATATTGCATTGTAGTTGGTTTCATTATTTTGTAATTTCTTAGATATATTTTCGAACAAAAAAGATTTCTTTTCAAATTTATTTCTTTATAAAATGGTAAATAATTGTTGTGGTAGGATCCACCTAATTTGCATAGTGGAGTACCGACCATATAAATATGGTTGGTACCGGGAAGAGAGGGAGGAATCAAGAGATTCAACCAGAGACTCTGCCCGACTGCGACTCAGTCAACACATTCTCCAGGAACGGTCTTACCAGGAATATACAAAAGACTATATTGTGTACACTTTCTTGTTTCAATACATTTTGTTCTAAGTACATTTTGTGTTGCATTATTATTCCATGCATTAGTCAAGTTTCAACAATAATAATGATGGTAAATAATAAATCAGAATGGTAAACAATAAATATCGCATTGTACTTGGTACACATATTTTTATAATCTCGTAAATGACCAGTAACGAGGGAGAAAAATGTAAGCATAAATAGCGGTGTAAAGGGAATAACAGTCCCTTTTGACATAGCGTTTTTTTTTTTCGGACATTAAGAATAAACATTGCTAAATTGTTAATGCAATATTTACTTACAAAAAAAAAAAAAAAAGAATTATTCTTACAATCCAAAATATGTTTTGGCTTTAAATAACACACAAAGCCATAAAAAGAATCAATTAATCAACGCGAGGACGCGCGTTTTCGCGAAGCAAAATTACTGGTCAACTCGATGAGAGAAAGATATTTTCTATTCCACTGTACCATTCGAACGAGCCAATGAGACTGTCGTGTTGTGTAGCAAAGGTTTCTCCGGATTTCAGCAATTTCTAATAAAGAATTATCTTTGAATCCCACCAAAAAAGTTATTTCTCAGATTCCATTCAACAAAGTTCTTTTCCCAGATTCCATTCAACTTGTGATGTTGATGGATGTCGTGGTTTTATTAAAGGCTATCCTGGATCTAAGCATGATTTTCTTCGTTACAGATCCTCTAAGTGATTCCATATTTAACCACCAGAGGCTCTATTTTCCAAATTTGATTTTTGTTTTCTGTGTCAAACAAGCAGAGAAGGAAAAGTATTTAAATGCTAACTGGTATTCCTTCTGTATCTTAATGTGGAACATATTTTCCTAGTTTCCGAAATTTGCAATTGTCTGATTTTCCAATCAATAAATAGGCAATTGCCCAATCAAAAAAAGATTTTAGCAATTGCCTAATCAATAAAGAGTTGGGCAATTGATCAGTAAATAAAGAAATGAGTAATTTCCCAATAAATAAAGTGCTGAATAATTGCCTAATCAATAAAGAGTTTAACAATTGCAAATCAATAAAGACCTGAAGAATTGCTGAATCAGTAAAGAGTTGAGCAATTGGCCAATCAATAAATAGATGAATAATTGCCCAATCAATAAAGATTTTAACAATTGCCCAATCAATAAAGAGATGCGTAATTGCTCAGTCAATAAAAAACAGAGTAATTACCCAGTCAATAACGAGCTAGATAAATATCAAGCACTTTTTCCTAACATTGTACAAAAGATTCATTCATTCGTTTTCTACGGCTTATCAACCATTTGCAGGTTATTTAAAGCCACAAAATATTTTAGAGTGTAAGAATCTTTTGGGGGAGATAATAATGATTTAGTGATACAAGTTTTACTAATTTACCCATAGGATATTTACGCGTAAGTGAATATAACGAACCCAACTGGAATTGAAACTTGGCTCGCTGATTAACAATTCCGAGCCATTATCCATTGCACCACCCGCACATCCAAGCTTACAGCACTTGGTATTCCCAAGTGGTCATTCATTTAGGTACTGACAAGGCTCGACGTTCCTTAATTTCGGCGATCGTATAGGATCCAGTGTTTCAACGTGATGCGGTCGCAAGCTTGTACAAAAGATGATGTTGAGAACTTCTACAAATATACAATCGACCTCTAAATAAAACTAGTAAAGCTCTGCGATGAAAAGAAAACAGGCTTGAATCTGTTTTCCTGCTTGTAAATAAGACGAGATCAATGGAAATGCATCGTTCACAAATCTTGAACAGGAAATGTTTGAAAATAATGGCGAAGTAGTCTTACCTTGGCGTGACGTGGGCCACTTATATTGGAATAAGATTACGAATATCAGATCCAGAAGAGTGGTAATTGTTAGAAACAGGTAACCCTGAATTGTCGCAAAAGCAAACAGTTTTCCTAAGTAAGGTGTGTTCGTGTGTATAAATATTGCAATAATCCCAGCGCAATGAAACAGGAACCAAAATATTCTCCATACCAAGTAGAAATGTTTTGTTTTTTCAACCTACAACAACAACAACAGCAACGGCGATAATAATAATAATAATAATTAAAATAATAATAATAATAATAATAATAATAAATTTTGTTAAACTACTTTTCTCAAGAGAGTAGTTACCTCCACAGAAACGCGATACATAATGTTTAAAATGATTTTTTTTAAAATTAATCTTTAAAAATGAAAAATCTTTCTTGAAGATTTCATTTTAGTTTCAATTTCAAGCTAATAGATTAATTTTAATATTTCCAACAAGCAAAATACTTTGTTGTATTTCAAAACTAATTTAAATTGACTGGAAGGAGTCTACGTTTTGAAATTACTAAACATCGCTGATTTTAGCGCCATTTTTAGAAATCTTTCATCACACTCTTTATTAAAAACTCTTTCAAAAATAAAATGTACTTTTCTGAAACTTTATTTGAGAAATATTAGCTGATTTAAAGTTTAATTAATGTTATTTCAAACAAACAATATTTTAAATTTAAAATATCTTAGAAATGCATTTTTTAACATGGCGATAGTTGACAGGTTAGCTTGACTAACAGGCTGAAGTTTATCTAATTTGAAAAAATTAGAGTGCTCAGAGCGGGCTGTTCAAGCTTGCATACGATAAGCATGGAATGATGGAAGAGGGCCTCGTCTACGTCTGTCGGTCTCCGTCTACGGCGAGGCAATGATCGAAGGGAGCGGTCGGGGCCACTCGTATTGCGACGTTAGAGGTGAAATTCTTGGATCGTCGCAAGACGAACTGCAGCGATGGCGTGTGGCAAGCACGTTTTCCTCGATCAAGAGCGAAAGTCGGAGGTTCGAAGACGATCAGATACCGTCGTAGTTCCGACCGTAAACGATGCCGACCGTATAGATTTGTGTATAGATTTGTAAAAATTGTTTGACGAATTTTCCAATCAATAAAGAAGTGAGTAATTGCGCTTTTTATATAATTTTTAACTACTCAGTAATCTTAAAAAAGTAGGAAAGTATTCTCCATTATCCGTTTCTTTTTATTAAAGTACATTCTTTGGCTTTAAATTTACTAAAGTTATCACTCTTATTTTCTGATAATGCCGTCTATAGACGGTTATATTTACAAATGTCGACACGTTTGTACACACAAAAAAAAGTTCCAAATACTTTTTAAAATATTGAGGGTCGATGTTAAGCTTTTTCATTTATGATTAGTAAATATAATTTTACTTAATAACAATATCACATAACCTCAACAAAGTAAGATAAAATTTTAAAAGATTTAAGACAAAAAATATTATAATTAAAATTTTTAAAAATTAAAACAATCCTTGTAAAATTCCTTGTTCATCGAAAAAAAATTTTAAGACAAAAGTGTCCATAATATCCCTTATAATATAAGCAATTGAATGCTTTTCTAATTAAGTAATATCTTAGTTTTATTGCATTTTTTTTTAATTTTACGATTCAGAGCAGATTTTCGGTAACTCGGGGTCCTGTTTTACAAAAATAAATTGATGATTTACATTCTCCAAGTTCTGCTTTTAATTAATATGAACATTAAGCTCTACAAAATTTAATTTCTGGAAATTTCAAAAAATTAAATAAGTGGGCGGTAACAGATGTAAAGAAAAAATATTGTTATCAAGATTTTCTAAAAAAAAAAAAAAATGATTTCTAAAATAATTTCATTAATTTATAAATAAGTTCCGAAAGTTTTATAAAAATCCGACAATTATTTGATTTTTGCGAGAATTTCCAAACCAAAGTGTTTCTCATTGAAAAAAAAAGACGTTAAAATCTCGTATACTAATCTCCACCCACTGCCAGGCTGACGCAAAAGAAGATGATTTTTAACCAAAATTTCGAACGTTTTCAAAGGATTAAAAATACCGTATATATATATATATATATATATATATATATATATATATATAACAAGTTGCACGATATTAGCATACGCCGAATATAAAACTCGGCATGACATGGTGGGCTAATGTATGCACTGGGAAACCTGTAACTTTTATGGGAAGAAAACTACAAGAAATTGGTATGAACGCTACCTAGACCCGGTTACAGAAATATGACCTGTAACAGTTTTATCGGAATATACAACACACACACAGACACAGAATAATCAATACTAATCGCCCAAACATAGTGATCAATGATCACAGAAACAGAGGATGTGTTTTCTTATTGACAAGGCAGTTCCTGCAGGTTGTAATGTATTTTTGAAGATCAGAAAATAAAAAAAAAATCTATTAGAATACAAGGATCTTGAAGTAGAAATCTAAAAAAATGTGGCACATGAAGACATCAATAATTCCAGTTGTAGTTGGAGCCCTCGGATTGATTGGAAAAGGTTCCGATATTCCTGGTAGCCCATGCCTTAAAGAAATACAAAAAAAATGTACTCATAGGTACAGTTCACATATTACGAAGAGCTTTATCTATATAAAATGTGTGTGATCTTATTTTATTTTGCTTTATTTTTGCAAAAGTGATCAGTAGAAATGTCATGAAGCCATTTCTGACCTTAGGTCTCTGGTTGGGACCCGGAAGAAAATGTGTATACAACAGAAACCAAAGGAAATAATAATAATAATAATAATAATAATAATAATAATAATAATAATAATGTTCCTGATATAATCTTATCAGATATGGAAATATTACACCTTGTATATGTGTACTCCAGCGTTACTTCCTTATGCCTCACTCAATAATAATAATAATAATAATAATAATAATAACGTTTCTGATATACTCTTATCAAATATGGAAATAGTAGGCCTTGTAAATTTGTACTCCAGCGTTACTTCCTTATCCCTCACTCAATAATAATAATAATAATAATAATAATAATAATAATGTTCCTGATATAATCTTATCAGATACGGAAATATTACAACTTGTATATTTGTACTCCAGCGTTACATGCTTCTCTCTCACTCAATAATAATAATAATAATAATAATAATAATAATAATAATAATAAAGAATACAGACAGATAAGAAACTGGGGTACTAGAGATTATCATTAGCAGCAATTATAAAAAAAAGAAAGGTTAATCATTCGTATCCTTTTGATACAAGAAAGAAGAGAAATCCACTAATTACGACCCAATGAAGTTTGAAACTTGCAAGGTTTTGCAAACTAAAAAAAGTCACAACCGCAAAAATTGTCGATGGTACGCAACTGACAGGATATAAACATGAATAAAGAACTTGGCATTGGTTTCTCTGTGGAACTGTTACAGAAAGGAAACTTATTGAGAACGGCAAGAATATTCCGGAAAGTGATCAGCAGTTATCCGGAAGGTGCCAAGAAAATTGTACGATGTCCTCACCCTATCCATGCATTAATTACCATTAATTCTCATGTCTGATAAAATACTGAAATAATAATAAAGTTTTATTAAAAAGCTGATAATAAAAGTAGAAATGCAAAACTTCCATAATGCAGCAAGCAGTTTTAAAACCTTTACTATTATTCCGTTGCTAACCCTCCCGCATCCGTCAGCTTTTTATTGCAACACTCATGGTCGATAACCTCTTCTGCCAAAGCGCGAAATAACTAGCTTTGACCGCGATTTGAACTCACAGGCTGCACCTCGGGAGCCAATCCACTTCGTAGCGAATCGTAGAGGAAAAGATGCCATCGAAGTTTTCGTAGACGAAGTGCTTAAAGCGACGTCCATGAAAGGACGGGCAAAGGATGCGAGTTCAATTTCTCGTCTAAAACTACTTCTTCATGGTCAATTTCATATTGTACGTTCAAGCAGACGAAAGGTTTATCGACCTACAACGTTGCAACAATATCATGAAATAGGACTGATATTTCGATAATGGAAAAGTGTTATATGGTGTTGTACAATAGGCATTACGACTAGATATAAACATGTTCTACATTTTTTTATATTAATTCATTAATTAATTTTTCATATTACATATTAAGCAGTCCCCATTACGAATATATATATATATATATATATATATATATATATATATATATATATATATATATATATATATATATATATATAAAATGTCTCATTAAATAGTTTACACAAGTTTTGTCTACTTATTTTTAAATGTATGCTCTCGTAATTACGGGCAAGTTTTTTAGTATCCTTATTAAAGGAAAAAATAATAAGGATATTAAAATACTTGTTTCGTAAAAAAAGGAATGGACAATTTTACTAGCAGTATCCCAGGAAACATGAACATGCAAGTTGCCCAGAAGATCGCTCTACTAGGAACATCCCATATACTAAGATAAGTGCTATCAATTAAATGACAATTCTCCTATAGGGCTTAAGGACCATAATTTGGACCCGACTCTGCAGGATACAAAGCAGGAAACATAACACTCAAACACTACTACTACTAATACTACTACTAATAATAATAAAGAATACAGACAGATCAGAAATTGGCGTACTAGAGATTAGCAGCAGATAAAATAAAAAAAAAACTTTTTAGGAAAGATGTATGACAGTAGAAAAAAGGTTTCGTGTGACGCGTTTCGTCCTTTAGGACGTCATCGGACTGAATTTTTCTACGTTGCAGCGACTACACATGCACACGTCTAAGAGATGCTGAGAATTCTAAATTTTAAAATATGTTTTGTTATATAAACTAAACGATTTCATTTAGATTCTTTTTCTTTTTGTTTCCTTCCATTTTGTTATTAGATATCCCACACTGTGATAATAGAATATGTGCCAGGAATGGTGAAATGTTGTAAGAGTCTGGGCGCAGATTTACTGTGGATGATCTAGTGATCAGGGAACTCTCTAAACATTTCCGTTTTACTAAATTGTTTTCTCCTTTGATCAGAGTAGCATTTTTTATTTTAAAATCATGGTCAGGCTCGTTACTTTTATTGACTAAATCTTTTATTGTTTTAGATGTAGTTGTAACAAATTTTATGTTGAGTTTAGACAAGAAGTGTCTTCCCAATAGGTCCCTGAATGTAGTTCGTGACGGCTAATCCTCTGGGGTGCTAGCAATCAACGCAGGCGTTCCTTAAG